TACAGCACCCCCAGAGCAGCTGGGGTTAAGGGCCTTGCTCAGGGGCTCAACGCAGGATTCCTTTGTCGGACACAGGATTTGAACCAGCAACTTTCCAGCCACAGGTGCAGATCCTTAGCCCCAGTGCCACTATATGATTCATTTTAAACAGGCCATGCTTTGAAAATGTCATGTTAACGACAATCAAAGTATCATTTTACATTCTCCATCCATATAAACTCAATGTTTCGTATAAGGTCAGACTGGGTGTTTTTGTTTTAAACTGTGTTTATTATTTTAGCCCCTGTCTGGGCCTTTCAAATGAGTCACTATCATGTGAAATAGGCTGAGTCAGGGAAAAGGAGTAAAAGCCAGGTTAATGTGCATGGAGTGTACTGTAGGTGCTAAACAGATACGGGGTGCGTAAAAGTCAGTGATTTACAAATTTTAAATACTGCTTTCTAGCATACTTTAAGCTTAAAATATCATTTTAAATCCATAGAGCCCACATGTTCCACATTTGTGAACCAATGCCATCTAGTTTTGGTACTGAAAACTACTATACGTGAAAGCAGGCTCGGCGGATCTACGATTTCATTATCGGAAAACTGATGTGGAAAATAAAGACAGTGAAGAGCTTTGGTACTTTGCAAGTGAATTAAGGCTAATGGTTTTTTTCATACATTTTTTGATAGCCGATAATACATTAAAAATAGTTTTTTTTTTAGAGCGGATTAGCAAAAGGAAACGAGACTAAAGCCTTGAACGATATTGTTGTACGTTGTAAGGGGTGAAACTGACCTCTGTGCCGATGGTTAAGACTCGTGTTGTTGCCCGGGCAACTCCAAAACAAAAAGGGTTTAAGGTGTGTAGAGTCATTGCAAAGCACATCTGATTGTACAGTACGTCAGGTTACACTCTAGGTATCTGAGAACAATACAGTTGAGTGTTAATACTGTTGAGAACTTGCTGTACAGTAGGTATCGCAAGGACGAAACTGAGTCTGCAGCAGGCACAACAAGTACAAATGGAATTTTTGCTCTAGGGTCATTCAACACACAGGGCGTTCACACTCGTCAAAAATAAGACGCTGAATATGTTGTGCAGGTCGAAGACCTAAACCTTGTAACGTGCACGGGGTCTTTTTTCACAACTAAACAATTTTTCGAATAAAGTGAGAATGTTGATTACAGCACAAATAAAATCCATGCGGCTGGAGAGATTTTTCCCGCTTCCCCGTCAAAGACAGTGAGGAGTCCGTCTCGGGAGTTTAAGGAAGTTTTTATTTCACGCGCATTGGAGCAAAACACACGGTGTATTTTTCTTAAAGTACTTAAACTAAAACAGTCCTTAAGTATTTTTTCTCTTATCTATCTCGCTTCCCTGTGCTGATCAGATTGGCAGAGTTCCAGAATCACGCATGTCTTCTTGATTCCCTATTGGCTAAATATGACTTCTTTTAACACAGTTGGTTAGGTTGGTGGCACGCATTCCTATATAACAGTATAGAATCACATAGCTGCCATCTTATGTCCATCTTATAATACAATATTGCAGCTTCAGCAGAAAGTGTGTACAAAGCTCATAGAGACTCTCAACAATGCAAAGATGTACCATATGCACTTATATAAAGATATTTCAGTTTTGATCTACAGATAAATATAGGGAAAGACATTACATCAAATCTAAATTGTCTTTGCCACTTGTAAGTTCTGTTTCTAAATGGTAAAACGATACACTGAATTTTCTTAAGTGTTTTAAAATAACTATCTACCTCATCTACAATAACTATTCCAAAATAAATCCCAAGTAAAACATCTGTGGAGACTTCTTCTGTTAAAAGACA